GGGGCCCTGGAAGGTCAGTTAGCCAAGACAACAGGAAAGCTGGTGGATCTCAGTCCCCAAAACCTGGTGGATTGTTCTGGCAAATATGGTAACGAAGGCTGCAACGGAGGCTACATAGACCGAGCTTTCCAATATGTCATCGACAACCACGGAATTGACTCTGATGCTTCATACCCATATACAGGACATGTAAGTAAACATACATGCATGTGTGACCTCATGTGCACACTTCTGTGCTAAAAGAACATTCAGCACTTATTTAAGTGATAATTCCAAGGCAAAAACAAAATCTCAGTTAAAATAGTAATTCATCACAATCCCTGTCACCCTCCTTTCATTAATCAGCCATCTCCAGGTTAGTAGGGACAAATATAATTAATACAAATATTAAACATATGAGAAGCAAGTACCCCTAAGAAAGGTACTTTCCTCAGCATCTCTACACACCGCTCCCCGGACACTGTATTGGTGGTTGCTTCACTGAGTGAATGATTAAATGCAGTGGACTAATTTCCAATGGGATTAATAAAGTGTATCTCCTTCTTCGTTAACAGAAGGTCAAATATCAAAATTCATTATTTACAACAAAAATGGAGTAGACAGTAGCAAAGTTATTTTTTGCTCATAAAGATAAACATAAACTAGGATTATATTATGATTATATAAAGAAAAACATGTCTTAGTTTAAAATGTGTGTAGAAATAAAAACAATTTGTAACTTTTAATTAAGAAATGTTATGTTTTTAATAAAATCCTAATATAATCCTAGTTTATACCGTCTTTATACTATATTCAATTAATAACAGAGTTTAAATAATTTGAAATCAGTATATTCTGTTCCAACAAGCCAACTTTTACAAAACTTTTACAAAAATTTAAACATAGGACTCTAACACAAGCTTTACAAAACCCTGTATGAGACACCTAGGTGGGTGTATAAACACCAGCAAGAAGTTGAGTCCGATCCTTCAGGCTGTAGACAGCAACACTCACACTTGTCTGTGGTCAGCTGTTAACGTCTCTTTGGAGCAACAATAAATTAATCGGAGCGGACAACATGTTTGTCCTCCAGGCTTTATGTAGTTCGCTGTTGTTTGTGTGGAGGAGGCCAGTTCTGAGACGATTCAACAGACTGTTCCAGCCTCGCGGGGGTGGCGATGTTTTTAATTTAGCCAAAAGAAAATTTAAAAAAAAAACGAAAAAACAAAAACAAAACAAGAACTTTGTAATGTGAAATACTCAGTGACTATCCTTACCAAAAAAATCAAGCATGGAAATTATGACAATATCTATGTAGTTTGCAACAGTCTTTAGGTTTATTTTTGTCCTGAAGTGCAAATTATGACACCACTGACTTATTCCTTTGAGAAGTGAGATGCAGTCCAATCAATGGAGAGCCTACAAGACTAAAGGAGTGATTTTAACTGAGTTCAAAAACCTAGTTAATGAATATATTTTCAATTTGTTGGTGCCCCTCCCAATTCTCCAATTCTGCCTTATTAGGGCAGCCCTGTATGTTGTAAAACAAGAATATTTTTAGATTTTTTTAATGTGTATGAAGTTCTTTCCAGACTGCATCAGATCCTTTAGCATTTTTTTCTTTAACTTCAGGATGATCAGTGCCACTACAACCCAGCAACCCGTGCTGCCAACTGCTCCAGTTACCAGTGTCTGCCTGAAGGGGACGAGAACGCTCTGAAGCAGGGTCTTGCTACCATTGGACCCATTTCAGTGGGAATTGATGCTAGGCGGCCCACGTTTATTTTATATAGGAGTGGTAAGATACACCTCATCAGATGCAAAGTAAATGGAAAAACAGTTTTAAAATGTTTGGAGGATGAAGGAGGTTTTTTTTTTGTTTTTTAGAAGACAAATTTGAGTTCAGTTTTCCTGGAAATTATTATTTATGGCTGCTTAGAAAATTTTAATCAGATTGATCATTTCTTCTTATAATTTCAGGAGTGTATAATGACCCATCATGCACTCAGAATGTGAATCACGCTGTGTTAGCTGTGGGCTACGGCACTCTGAATGGACAAGACTACTGGCTCATAAAGAACAGGTGAGACATTTTCACTGATTTCTCTTGAATCTGGCTTTTATATACAAAGTGATTTCATGGACAGGGCCTTTATTGTCTTCCACCATCTGTTCACTAATGTGGTGCATACTGGAGGACTCTAGAAGACAAATAAGAAGTGAAAGAGAGAAGTCAGGCTTTTTAAAAAAGTACATATCATCAACACGCAAAAACTGACCTGGCCTGGGAATACCAAGGTTTTCCCAGGCCAGCCGAGAGATATAATCTCTCCAGAGTGTCCTGGGTCTGCCCCAGGGCCTCCTCCCAGTGGGACATGCCCCGAACACCTCACCCAGGGGGGCACCCAGGTAGTGTCCTTGTCAGATGCCCGAACCACCTCGACTGGCTCCTTTTGTTGTGGAGGAGCAGCGGCTCTACTCTGAGCCCCTCCCGGATGGCTGAACTTCTCATCCTATAAGAGGGAGGCTAGCCACCCTTCGGAGGAAGCCCATTTCTGCCTCTTTTATCTCGTTCTTTCGGTCACTGCCCACATCTAGTGACCATAGGTGAGGGTAGGGACGTAGACTGACCAGCAAATTGAGAGCTTTGCTTTTACACTCAGCTCTCTCTTTACCACAACAGACCGATACAGCGTCCGCATCACTCAGCCGCAGCACCAATCCATCTGTCAATCTCCCACTCCCTTTTCCCATCAGTCGTGAACAAGTACTTGAACTCCTCCACTTGGGGCAAGAACTTGTCCCTGACCCGGAGTGGGCACTCCACCCCTTTTCCTGGCTGAGGACCATTGCCTCAGATTTGGAGGTGCTGATTCTCATTCCCAAAGCTTCACACTCAGCTGCGAACCATTCCAAGGCGAGCTGGAGGCCATCACCCGATGAAGCCAACAGAACCACATCATCTGCGAAAAGCAGAGATGACATTCTGAGACCACCCAAGTGAAAGCCCTCTGCCACTTGGGTACGCCTAGGAATTCTGTCCATAAAAATTATGAAAAGAATAGGTGACTAAGGGCTGCCCTGGCAAAGCCCATCACCCACCAGGAACAAGTCCAACTTATTGGACTTTGCAGACCAAGAGCTGGTCAAGTGTTCCACGACCAGGACAAAAAAATGCATTGTTCCTCCTGTATCTGAGGTTCGACTAATGGACACATCCATTCATATGACATCCCTGTCCTTTGTTAATACTTAAACATAAACTATACTGAGTTAGATGTAAAAGTAGGAAGAAAGACAGTTTTGTTAATGTTTATTCAAAGATGAAAAAACAAATGTACCAGCTGCTGAAGTCATTTCATTTTTAGAATTCATATGAACAAGCATTTAATCATCCACTGGACCTGGTTTTATCTTCTTTTGTTTTCTTTTGTAATAAAAACGTCAAAAAAACAAGATAAGAATGATTTAATACATCAATAACAAAATGTGAAGTTTTAAAACATTTAATTACATTTATCTGATAATTCATTATTTTGTACTCTCCAGCTGGGGAACTTCCTTCGGAGATCAGGGATACATCCGGATGGCACGCAACCAGAATGATCAGTGTGGCATTGCTCTGGATGCCTGCTACCCCGTCATGTAACTGCAGAGGGAACTGAAATGAATCTCTTGCAAAATGAATATAAATGAATATATCATTTATGACTTTTTTTATTAAGTCTTCAAAAACTACAGCTTCAAACTAACACTTTTTGGTGCTTCTCTTGAAAAATTATATCTTGAGGAGGAATCATTATCACTGACTTTATTTGGCGTGTGACATTGTGGAAATGCTAATGTGTGTATCTCTGTGTGTGAGTACACACATTTTTGGTATACCCGCTTATCAAAGTTCAAACTACTTTTCTCCTTGAAAGGTAAGGTTCAGCAATTGCTTTAAAAGATTTGATTTTTCACAAGTTAAAGAAAAATATTTATCCCCCAATGTTTACTTTGGTTAGCATTAACTACTAAATCAGGGGGTTACCAGAAGTATAGACATTTGTTCAAGGTTACAAGGTTTAATTAAAAATCTTTCTATATCTGTGGTAAAAAGTTGTGAATGTACTGGATGCGCTGGACTACTGTATATTTTATGACATGAGTGAGATTAAGATTAAATTCACAACACAACATGTACTGCTGCTTTGTTGTTGACACTTATATTATGTAATCAGACTCAATGTAAAAATAAAACATTTTCCAAAAATCTGGTTCCTTATTCACAAAATAATGAACACGGAATTATAACTTTAAGGGTGTCATGGTGCTGTGTCTGTTACTGCGTTTATGTCTTTGGACTTTTGGCCTTGTTTTCTTACGATGGTAGCGGTTTATGTTTCTTAGCCCTTTTCTGGTATTACTTAGTTTCCTGGTTTAATCATTTAGATTTCTGGTTCTTAATTACTTTTAGTTAGTTCTGTTTCGTTCCCTCTCTTTTGCCTTTGTGTATCTTTATTGTGTGAGTTTGTCCCTTTGTCCCTCGTCAGATCCTCGTCATGTTCATCATCCGTCATGTTTCAAGTCTCAGGTTTTCTGGTACCTTGTGTTTAGTTTTTGTTGATTTAATCTTAGTCTCCCTTTTGCTTTGGTTGTATTTTGTGCAGTCAAAAATAAAAAGCTCACTTTCATTTTTGACTGCAGTCCTCCTTACTCTGCAATTGGGTCCACACTCCCCACACAGTCTGCCATCACAGACCTGACAAAAGGGGGATATGTATTTATGTAAACATGCCTGGGATGTTGAGGGTTTTAACTGGTTGAGTACTAAAATGTGCATGTTATACAGCATTTTCGTTAAACAAAAAGGACGTTTAAAAGGAAGCCTTGGTTTCGTAAGTGTGTTTTCTTGTTTTTGGACAAAATAAAAAATAAATCAGATTTCAGAGCAGCTATTGGTGTTGGCCTTTAAAACCCACATATCTTTCCTGCTAACATCTTGAACAAGGTCAGAATAAAGTCAACAGACTGCAGTGTTGGGTTACAAATGAGTCATTTTTATTTTTTTTAGTGCAACATCACAACAAACAATTTTCACATGAGGTATTCAAAGGGATTTTCTTTAGTTGTTGATACAAAATGTCCCACCATGATTGACGTTTAAAGTTTTGTATATCTTTTTTTAAAGCCTTTGGTTGGTTAGCCACATTCATTAGTAAGTCTAACACATGGACAAGAATGGCACAATAAAGCATGGTGGGTCGAGTCCAAGCTGGGGAAAGTCAGACTCAGTCAGATATTTCCCTCAGCTCTTTCCCGTTTAAAGCTTTTTGTATGGATCTTATTAATTCCTACTTACAACAGTGGGATTGAACAGTATTTCAACTACACTAAACATTTTGAAAAAAAAAACAGGTGGGAGGGGTGGCTTACAAATGTGGAAAAATAGCTTCTGTCTCCTCTGATCTTTTTTTTATGTTAGGATGAGTGCTTGATTTGGGTTTTTTTTTTTCTATTACAGCAATTCGCATAATTCTAGCTTTTGGAAAACAAGGAACAGGCAACGTTGATTACAGCAAGATCCTCCTTGCTTGGATTGTCACCTCCTTCTTTTTTGGTCTTGAGAATGATTTTATTTATATACAGAACATGGATCAATGGGACACTAGCATACTCGACTTGAGCTTTGGCTGGACAGGGGGTTCCTTCAGCCCCTTCACAGATTGATTCCAGCACATTTGGTTTGAAGAAGTAAAAGGCATGAAGAAGAAGAGACGGATGAACAGACAAGATAGATAGACAGACACCCTGACAGAATGGATTCTTTGGTTAAGGAACATTTTTGCCACACAACATCTCACACAGTTGAGGTAGATGGGTAAAGTCTTCATGTACGCACACGGGAGAAGACAGGGACAGAGGGGGAGACACTGGGGTCAAAAGACTTTCATCTGAAGACACTGCTTCATGTCAGTTTCTCAGTTCCAGCTCAACATAATACTGATTTATGCAACATAAATAACCAGCACACGGAACCCCACTGGTGCTTTTTTGAATCCTCTGAGTGCTACGGTAGCTCTGATGAGGAACTGCTAAAACTACCTACATTACATAATGATTCAGCAGTTACTCATTGATCTTTGGTTGTTTTTTCGTTCAAACGTTATCAAAAACAGTACTTTTTTGGTCTTTTTAAATTTTTTATTCTGAAAGTATATGTCAGCTTTCAGTTCTGCTATTTCATTATTAACGCGCTCCTAAGAATTGCTCTGCAATGGCCTCGGCTGCCAGGCTTGTCTCAGGGTCAAGTTTCTAGAAAAGTCACTAGGGGGTGCCGCAGGCTAAAATGGCAATGCGGATCACCTGCAGCAGCCAACTGGATTCACTCCTCCCTCCCGCCTACCCTCTGTACAGAAAGGGAAGAGCTTCCCTGCTTGACACGGAGCAGAGGGTGGCTCAATACAAAAAGCACTGTCTCCATTTTAGACTCGCAGTCAGAGAGACAAAGAAAAACCTGAAAGGTGTCACCTCAGCTTTGATACAATGACAGCAGTGGGCAGAGATCAGCAGAAGAGCCTTCAAGCTCTTTTATTTTTAATTTTTTCACCGCTGTACAGACACAGCCACACAACCCCACTGCCACCCCCCGTAGCTCTCAGCATGCTTACAATTGTTACTCATTAAAGTTTAATTCAGCTCTATGCCCCACTACTCCAACACCTCCTGTTCCTCAAACAACCCCCCCTCCTACTTCTCCGCACACACTGCTACCACCATCCTCATTCTGGACGATTCAGCCTCCTCTCTGATCTCCCCCCACCCCTTTTTGAATGCCCCCTAAAGCCCACAGGTCTGGCCAAGAGCAGACCCCAGACCAGATACCCAGAGAGGAGACGGGATGAAAAAAGCCTCCCCTTTGAAGTCCACGAAAAAGTCGATGGCCTCTTTCATGACCACCCGTCTTTCAAGTGCACGCTGTGAAGGGGGCCCCGGCAATCCGCCTCTTACAACGTTAAAGACAGAGAAAGGGAGAGAAAATGAGACAGGGAAAGAGTCAATGTTGAAAACGGCAAATCTAGCTTTGCCACACTTGGGCAGCATTTAGTCGAGAGTGAGAAAATTAAATCTTAGGTGACTTCTCCTGATTTCAGCACCCACTACTCAGAATGGAAAATCCAGGTAAGGAAGGAGGACCTAGAACAAATGCCAAAACTCCAAATGATTTGGAAAGATCCATGAAGCTCTTACAGGGTCAGGGACAAGCCCCACAAGCCTTACAACAAAATCTAAGACTTCTCAAACACTGAACTTTGGATGGCAGAGGGCATAGGTCATAAAACTAAAGAATCTTACAAAAGAAATTAAAGATTCCCAGAAAACGAGAATGGGAAAAACCTTCAAAAGACCTTAAAAACCACGGGTACATAAATCCAATTCCCCGGAAGATGAGGAACACCCTTTAAGAATCACATTGGACAGGAAACAAACCCAGAAAAAAACTCCAGTATCTCAATTCAAGTTGAGGAAAACACGGGAGGAGTCAGGAGTGAACCCTACTAAACGTCTTGGAACTGAGACAACTAGCAGAAGCCTTTGCGTGTGGTGGACGGTGAGATCACACTGAGAAGGACATAGACAGTAGTGTCTGCACTGCACTGGGGAAGGGGTTAGGTGAGGGAGATTGGGCGGGGTGGGGGGTCATAACCATGCATTTCCCCAGGCAGATGCACAGTACGCATGTTTGCGCGTGACCCCGAAGGACTTACGCAACATTAGACAGTGCTTTAAGTGGGTCCCCAGACACATTACGCACTCTGCCAGATGGCATTGGTCTGAACACAACTTTACAAGCAACTTGTGAGCCTATGGGATGCCACATCATCTTTGTTATTATTGTTATTGTCATTATTGGTAGTATTATTAATTATAAATATTATCACAACATTCAAACAAGCTTTGGCCTTGGCGTTAAGAGCTGACAGCAGAGACATTTGCAAGAGTAAAGAATTCCCCATAATTCTACAACAAAACAAAGAAAACAAAAAGGGCCAGGCCTTAAAGATAGAGAGATACTTAACATCACTGGGTGGGTCGGGCTGGATCCGGGTGGATCGGGTACTGGGTTTAGGGATTCAGGCCGTACATTCAGGGAGGCAATGTTAATCTTTGGTATTACGATGGGATTCTACAGCTAAAAGTGCCCATCACAAAAAGTTTTCAGTTTCACACAGACATACAGAGCATTGTTAAATAAATACTTACAGTATATAGATAGCATAAATAAATAAATAACCAAATAAATAAAGGAAAGAAAAAGGGAAACCAATAAATACACAAATGCAGTAATAAATATGTTGATCAGATCATTAATTGCATTTGAAAAGTTCTTGGTTTGATTCATCTATTGGCTATAAGGAGGCATGGTTAAAGCCATTCCTTTGTGGACCAAAAAAATGACCTTGTACGTCAGCAGGGCTGAAACAAACTGCCCCACACTTCCAACGTGTTACTATAAATAGAGCGATGTGCTTGAAATCTGTACAAAAACATTGGAAAGAATCACATTCCTCCATTTTCTAGACATCTGTAAAAAAAAGATTTTGTAATGGAGGAGTATACAGTTGTTTGGAAATGAGTGGAAAAAATACTACAATGTCACTATACATTGTGTCAGGTGTACCTCTTCTCCAGAGAGCCTTTGTGTTCAAATTGTTTTTGTTTTCGTTTTTTTTGTGTGTGTGTTTTGGTTTTTTTCTTTTTGATTTGGAGTCCAAAAAAATGGCTGTGGAGCTTTAATTTGGAAGCTCAGTGAGAGTCTTAAAGCTAGACGGTTGCACCAACAAGTCTGTTTCTGTGTCCTACTTGTGTTTATCGATTCTGTCCTGGCATACGGTGAGATGTGCCGCGATTCCCCCTTGAAAACTCTGATTCATTCGAGGTGGGACCGTCTTGACACAATACAGAAGAGGCTCCTGTTGATGGGAAATGATTGACAATTGGGAGTCACAGGCGCTACAGAACCCTCCTGATTATTCCAGGCTCCAAGCTTGGAACAACGCCATACAGTCCTGGGAACCATTACCATGGAAACACATGCTAAGAAAAGGGCATTCAGTTCTCCAAGAAAAAAAAAAGAGGACTTAAAAAAAATGCCTCTTCTTCCTCTTTCACCTTGATTCTGGAGGAATAAAGGGACTACAATAACATCGGGGAAGGATTAATGTCTTCGGATGATGGCGATCACTTGATTAGGAAGTTACACAATGAAGCTCTCCAGATGTGAGCAAACGACACCTCTTGATTCTTCACGTTTGGAGAGATGAGAAAAGATTTGAAGGTACACCAAAATATGCTTACTCCTGATTTGCAATACCCTCATTATCTCTAATCTACATAATCAAAATAATGCAATGAGATGGTGTCTATGTAAGGGTGTGACTCTTCTTTGAGTCAAATCATCTTTGCACCCTTGACTATACAGGCAAGACCTCACATCTTGCAATCATATCACTAAGCATTGCCCCTTCCTTTTCAAGGGAGCAATTAACTTTGGTTTGGGAAAAATGCTTCATCTTCATAAACTCATCTATAATAGCTGGCTCCATCTCTCCTTCTGATAACGAGGAGGACATTTATTACGGCTGATCTCTGCCTAGACCAGTCTATGTGCCCCCTTGCTCCCTCAGCGCCCTCCTCACCGCACCTCCGCGACGGTCTAGCATCACGCCGTGCTGCAGGACACTGCGGAGGAGGAAATGCTGGAGCCCGAGGAACCGGTGGAAGAAGGACGGCCCTCGTCTGCCCACTTGTTGAGGTTGCGTCGGCGGGCATTCATGAAGAAATTGCTGACAGTTGAGAGCTCCAGGCCCAGCTGCTGGGCAATGGTGACCTGGAGCTCTTTGGTTGGGCGGTGGTTCTCCCTGAAGATGGCCAGAAGCGTACGCCGCTGCAGGTCTGTGAACACCAGCCTGGTGCGCTTCGGGCCCTGGTTGCGCTCCAGCTTGTTCTGCTCCTGTTCCTTACGCTTGCAGGCTGCAGGCAGATGGATAAAAGATAAATTAAAAAAAGGAAAGGGGAAGCAGGTTAGCTAACAGACTGGCTGGCTAACTAGGACAAATGGATTAAGCTGTGGGAAAGTGGATTTGTTGAAAGAAAACAGATTAGCTAAGCAACTTTGATTAGTTAAAAGAGATGAATCAGCAACTTGTTTCACTGTGCAGTAAAGGAATCAAGATGTTCAACCTATCACATCTTATTACCAGTGAGCTGCTCTAAGCTGCTAGGGAGAAAAAAACATATAACTACATCCAGACCAAAGTCCTGAAGTCTTCCATGATGTTTTTCATTATTCCCTTTAATTACATTTTGGAAAATGGTCTAATTTTTTACATAGATATGGCCTGGAGACAAACTAAATCTGGTGTTGCACTGATAATGGCAATATCTTCCAAACAAAAATTGAATTCAAACACAAAAACAGATGTATATCAAATTTCTCCCCTTAAAAATTTGAAATATAACCTTTCATCACATCAAATGTCACGTTTTGTCCCTCTTAGACTCTCCCTTATTTAACATCCGTATATTTCTGCATCTTTAGTCCTCAGAAGATAAAAAGCTTTAGCAGCATTTGTCCAGTATCAAAGTTATCCAAATCCAATCTACAGTAACAGTTAAGTCTTCTGGTGATTCTTTTTTAAATCTAAGTCTTGCGTACAACAACCACAAAATAAAATCCCGGGGTCTGGGTTAAACACCACTCTAGCTGCGGCAGCCCGCCCAATTATATAATCGATATTTTCTCGCGAAAAAGTCTGAAATTTATTTTGAAGGGAAAAAAAAGAGTGCAAAGAACAGTTTTGTTTAGTGAGAGAGAAAAATAGCCTGATGCGTGTGGGCTGAGCTCAGATCCATTTTGAGAATCAGACGAGCATTTTGAATTCAGGCTGCATGTTCCTCTGCATATCCATCGCTGAACCTTTCACCTCTAACACGCTGTAATTCTGTATTTACAGGAAACACAACACCAACCTCTGCCTTTGTGTACCGAGCCAACTTCTCCTCCCTTCCCTCCCACCCTCCATCCCGCTCTTTTTCTCTAACCATCTCCCTCCACTTCCACTCTTTCCTTTCCCTTAGTGGACACTTCAACATCATTAGTTTCTCATAAAAGTCATTTACATGTGGCGGCAGTGAGTGAGTAATAATCACTTTAGGGGGAACTAATTTATTTTCTATTAAAGGCAGGTTACGTCAGGGGTGAGTGAAACAAGCAGAGTCGGCATTGCCCAGGGCATTTAGAAGCCTTAAGTGGGCTAAAACATATTTGGGAGAGTCGTGCAATTACCTAAATGCACACTTTTAAGAGGTTTCAATCAGCACTGTGCGGTTGCTGGGCGACTATTTTGCTGATGGTATCAAATGCATTTCTAAGTGTAAGCACACTGGTGTACGTGCACAAAAAACACAAAGACACAAATACACACACACAAATGAGCAAGGACAGATGGATTAGTGCCTATATAGACAGTGGGTTTTTTTTCAGGGGGGGTATAAAATATGAATTCTTCTAATAGGTATGATATTAGATATGCATGTTATTTGGCATGTTGTGTCAGAAGCTTTCTCGATCTCAGAAAGATAAGATGCTGGGGTTACACATGCTCTTTGGGCTTTTTGAGCATTTAGCCAACCAAAACAGCCCTCAGTGTAACAAACGTGTCATTTTTATTGCAAGAAAAGAGAAACTCTTTCTTTCTTTTCGAGATTTAACACACACCATTTTTCAAGCAAGAGAGGAATAAGCTGTATTCGTGTTGAAGCTGGTTGAAATAATCCTGCTGCACAGGCAGATTTTTTTTTAACTTATATTAAGAAAACACAGAGAAATATGTATGGAGTTCTATTATTGACAAAAAAAATATGTGATTATATGGAGATTTCAGCTCGCAATAACCTTGAGATCCAATATTTCAAACCCTAACACACGGAGAAACACAACCCAACTCACGCTGCAAACATACATTATATAAAACACAGATGCTGCCTTTTGCTCTCACAACAGCACTGACGCGTCCAATTGATTGGCTCACAGTTTCCCATTGAGAAACATCTCACATACTGAGGGGTGCTGCTGATGTTAACTGTATGACTGTCTTTTCACTCTTCAAAAGCACAGTGGCAAATTTCTCTCATTAGCAGAGCGTTTCAGGAAAAAATGTGACCTCACCGCCATCTTTTTTTTCACAGAGTGCAATCACAACAGCAGAATTAGACGCAGGTCTAAAGGGTGTGTGTGTGTGTGTGTGTGTGTGTGTGTGTGTGTGTGTGTGTGTGTGTGTGTGTGTGTGTGTGTGTGTGTGTGTGTGTGTGTGTGTGTGTACTTCGCACCGTCTGGCTTTGATTGCTCTAACATCCAGCTGAGTTTCTGAAACTTAAGTACTCAACTGGACATGAATAAATCTCCCCATGAATTCCCTGTGAACATTCTCCTCTAAAATCATTATCTGAAGGAAGTGTTTTGACTCGGGGATGCACTCTTGTCAACTTGAGATTACAGGGGCCTGTTAGCTTTTAGGCATCCAGAGCTCGTTTGCATTTCTGAGAGTTATCGAACCACGTCTCATTAAAATCTGAACAGGCCGAGATGTCAGCAACATGTCAATATCACCACAAGTGAAATTATATATATATATATATATAATATATATATATATATAATATATATATATATATAATATATATACATATATATAGTATTTGTGCTGCATTCTTAATATGAGTTATACCATCACCACGGTCAATATTTCAGGGTTGGGGGTGTTGGGATGTGAGCTGCAGCTATGGAATGTATATACAGTGGTGCACTCTGAGCTCATGTAGTAATGAAAGGAATGACATGATAGTGCTGGCTAGCTCGCTTGTAGCGTGGATTTATGGCTCGTTGGAGGAGCTGCCGTGTCCTGCCGCTCTCCTCCTCCTCGCCGCCATCCTATCCTCAGCTCTCTCCCTTACTGACGATCATAACGCCGACCATTAAGTAAATGCTTCCTTATGCTGTAATCATGTGTAAAAGGCTCACAATTACCATGCTATAAATCCCCAGCACCGGGGCTACTCTTGGAGACATAAATATTCCCTATAGGCTTCTTATGATCGTGGGAACAGCCCCTAATCATGATGTATGCCCCTGTCTCGTGTTGCTGAAACGTGATCGAAAGCCCTTTCCCTACCCCCTGGCGTCTCAGCCCCCCCCCCCCCCCCCCAACCACCACCACTCCCCTCCCTGTCCTCTCCTCCACACCCCCTCCACCCCCCACCCAGCCCCAGCCCACCCCCCTGCTGATTTCTTGGGCCAGGGGCTGATAGAAATTATTGATTAAATCTGTGCAGCTCAGACTCCTCGACCCACAGAGGCTGGTTAACCCCTTCAGCGCCAGAGTGGGGGGAGCTGCAAGAGTCAGATAAAAAAAACAAAAACAACACAACAAAAACAACAACCCTGTTTGTTTGATGTTGCACAGCTAAGGTCACGCCGGCCTGTTTGCAATTCCTGATATGCAAATGGCATTGGGTTTGACCTTTGAGCCTCGCTAGCAAAACGTGAACTGTACGCAGCGAGCGGTGGACAAGGCTTTGTGGCTTTCATTACTGTGGGGGTGGTGCGGGCACTGGAGCTGACACGTAAACCGCATTGACCTTTCTTATTCATTTAGACCTTTAGTCAAGGGCTTCGGCCATCATCTTTAAAGTTATAGTCTCTGATCCCCCTCCTTGACTTTAAGTGTCAGAGCAAGGCTGTGTGGTCTTTATCCTGCCTTCTTCTCTGACTAAATCCTGATTGCCTCCTCCACAGCCTGAGGTTGGGCTGGAGATGCATCTCATATACAGTGCAGTAATCCATACAGCACACACACAAGATACTGCAGATAAATCCCAGGGATCACAGCATTTTTACCAAAGGTTTCTGCAAAAAAGACATATGAAAATACAAAATGGCAGCAACTAAATTCCACAATTACGGTGCGTCAAGCTTTGGAGAGAGCTCTGCAGCCCTCTATAGAAGAGACATTATGGAAATAACAGTGCTTCTGGCTGACACTAAAGGGCCTTCTATGTATTTAAGCAAGTGCTGCATTAAGGAGGATCATCTTAAAACTTGAGGCGTGAAGCAGAGAGCACTTGAGCTATCTTCAGACTGGGGAGCACAGGGCACTGCGCATTCTAATTCCAGTCTCGATTTGCCGATGCGGCCGAGGTGTGTGTGGGCAAAGCGTGCTGCTCTTTCCCATGGAAATCAATAGAGGCTTGTAATTAAACAAAAGGGGGTTGGCCAGGGGGGGGGAAACACAACAACCCCCTTCGGAAAGTAGGTTATGTAGAAAAGTGCCGAGCTGTCCAAATTGTGGCTTTGCCAAGAACTAAATATGCAATTTCAGAGAGTGTGAGAGCAGAGAGAGAGAGAGAGTAGGAGCATTGTCAAACATTAGTACGCTTCTCTGTGTAGGGACTTTAATTTTTTATGAGTCTGATTGATCGGCTGCTCGGACTTGGCGGTCTGACTCGTTAAAAATAATGTTTGTGTTTGTGACAATGAAGAAACAAGGATGCTGCACATAAAGAAAGAACGATGATTAAATCTGCTCCAAAGAACAAAGGGCTGATTTATCATGATGAAGATTTGCCTTTTCGTGGGGGAGATAATAGGTGTTTTGCGTACAAAGCATTCACACATCACGGGATGGGATTAATCAAACGGCGTTTGGGTCAAATTACAGAGCAAAACCCAAGATAACTAATCTTTAGAAAAGAGGTTTGGTTGTGATTGCGCTAACGTTTTGCTGAATGGAGGATGTACACATGTGCTCTCAGAGTTGAACAATCAAAGATCAATAATTGTGAAGGGATTGCAAGAGCGCACAATCATTACCTATGAACCCTATTGTGTTGCTCGGCTTAATCAGTCGAGCTGCCAACAGAAACGAAAGAAGCGGTGATCAAGTGGGGAGGCTCACACACACGTACAGCTCACA